TTTTTTTTAAATAGCGAAATTAATGAAACGAAGAAATAAATAAATAATGATGGAATAATTTAATTATATTATTATCAACGACATTATTAATAGTTTACATGCGTATTTACAAAATAACGAGTTCTTCGCTGATTATATAATAATATTCATTTTAACACAACTCGAAGGTTTATTTATTCATGAAAAACAAGTCGTGACACTGAGTATATCAGACGCGGTGACATATTTATACTTTTATACTGTGCAAAATGATGAGAAAAATTACGATGAACTTGATTGATACGATTTTATTTGTTATGTGGCTGATTTTCCATCTGCTTATGCAGCGGCACCCTCTTCTTCGTCGTCACCCTTGCCGGTCAAAAGTTCAATGAGGGCTTGCGTGTCGATCCTGTTGTTGTCGTCAATTTCCATCGCGTCAAAGGCGTCGTCTACTTCCTTGGCCGTGAATTTGTCGCCCCAGGTCATAAGAGCGTGTCTGAATCTATAAATGAAATAAAAGAAACGGTCAAGTGTCTGAACGTCTAATAGTTTTAGATTTGTATGTGGCAAATTTCAGGTCGTTAGTATTAATAGAATTGAGTAGGATCTGAAACTGATCAAATCTTTGTAATTCGTATACTTCATTTACTTTCTCTAGCGATGTGCCCCTTCCAATGTCTTGGATGCGCGCTGGCAAAATCGTAGGCAGGGAGCTCATTATACTCTCGACTCTTGTTCATTAAAAATATTTATTCATACAGTACCTGCTAAAAGTTTTGTTCAATCATGAGTAGTAGTACGAGTCGAAAACAAGCGTTAAAGCCTTTAATATGTCTTCAAATATAAATAAACATCTCGTTGATATTTTCAGTAGTAAATGGTACCAATAACAGCACATTTGAGCAATACAATTGTAATAGATAAATTTGTCAATTTTTCCGTGCAGTACTGTACGGATTATACGCTCCTTACTAGTTAAGAGTTTGGCCGAGAGTTGTCTCATATCTTTTCTGGCCTACTGCTATTCTTTTCTACTTTGCGTCGGTCAAACTGAAGGTCAAATCGCTACAGAGACTAAACGAAGTATACAATATCTTGAGATGACCTAATGCTCCATGGGTTGTCTGGGAACCCATCAGGTCTGTTAGATTTGTTGTTACAATATCGAGTTGGTTACTTGAACTTTTTGGGCTTGAAGGCATAATTTCTTTTGACCTACCTGTCGCCATCAATGGTACCACCTTCGTCAAAGGATTTGAATGCGGCAACGACAACTTCGTCATCGTCGGAACCACCGGAATCCGCCATGCGGTTACCGAAAAGACTTAGTAGTTGGGTGAAATTAATTGGTCCGGATGCTTCACCGATCATCTCCTCCAATTCTTTTTCGTTGGCGAGTTTACCTACGGCGTCAAAGGTGGCCCTCAGATCGCTCTTACCGATGATGCCGTCCTTGTCGTGGTCCATGAGTTGGAAGGCCTGAAAATTTTAATAATCGTCAGTATATTTGAACGGTACGGGTTTGGTTTTTATTCCACTGACCTCCTTGAATTCGGCAACTTGGTGCTGGGAGAACATGGAGAATACGTTGGAGCCTGAGCGTTTGGCCTTCTTCGAAGAGCCTTTGGAAGAAGCCCGTGATTCCCTGGTTGGTTCAGGTGCCGGAGCTGGGGCAGCTTCCGCTGCTGGTGCATCTTCCTTCTTCTTGGTCTTCTTAACCTTCTTTTCTTTATCAGCCTGAAATTACAACACTTTGTTGTGTTACCCAATTTTTACTCTTCTTCATTTCCTCTCTGATTTGTATAATGTTTTCCGAAATTTAATTGTCTATTCATAAGTTCAAACTTAATAACTATCACCCTGTAGATAATTAACTTGTCTACAAGTGAAGTCATTGAAAACCAGATTTTGTTGACATTAATTATCGTGGTAGGTAATTTAAAGTACATTATAGGAGTTATCTTCACCATTAAATTTGTTTGAAAACTTAAAATATAAATACGTAGTATAATAGTTACATATCGGTTGATGGTATCGAATGACAAAAAAACTTTTATTATGCAATTTTCTTTGTATTACGCCCAACATTCTGGTTGAAGTGATGCCAAAAATAGGTCGCTGTAGTGGAATACATTTGGGAATCAAAAATAAAGTTCTATTTTTAATTTGTGTAACTTGTATAATGTTTCGACATTTTTACGTATTATTTTTTGGACTTCTTTTGGCTTATGCATAAAATCAATCGAATTTATTAATTTTACAAATATTTTTAGCACATTCCATGCAGGTTGGAATATTACTTTTTATTTGAAGTTAAATAATTCTCTATTTAAAATTAGTCACATTTCATTCAAAAAAATCACCCTTGATTTAATTTTCTGAGTTCTTTCAATATCAGTTAGCAAAACTTGGCTTATTCCTTTCCACTTTTTACGAACTTACCATAGTGAAGTGAATACAGGGGGCTCCTAACGATAACACTCACGACTAGGCGTCCAAAGCGTCGCTGTGCATCTTATATAACCTCGGGCACCGCGTCGTTTTTAGATGACGCCTTCTGGCGTCCATATATAGACGCCCGCTAAAATTAGTGTTAATTGTGTTACCCGAGCACCGACGGTGCTCTTTTGAATAGTTGAACCAGATTTTTCAGCGACCCCAGTGAACCAACATAACATATGAGTCATTTTTTTTGGGTCCTCTGCAAGATCTAATGACGCAAAAAAAAAAAACAAANGCCGGGATTCGTTTCAGCAAGTAGATATCCATATATTTAAATGGACCTTGTTGGAGCATACGTAATCCTAAAATGTAGCATCGTACTACAGATGACGTTTACCGCGCCATTTGTGGTTTTTTCTAAATCCCCATATTTTTGGTCGCTTTTAAAAAATGCACTCAAAATAATTTTTTTGACTTACCATTTTAAAATATCCATATGCGTAACCGTCAGGATGATGAAAGCTAGCTATGGCTCGTATCTCCCTTGCTTCCGATGGGCTGTAGCCTCTTTCTATCGTTGAGCATGCCCATCTTCTGTTATCTCCCTGAAAAATTACCATTTGTGTTCTTTATTTCCATTTTCCAACAAAAATGGTATTTATACCTTTTTGTGAATGACTATAGACCTTCCTATTATACTTCGTGGTCCAAACAACGGCAGCATGGTGTCGTTATAACTTTGGGTGTATTTAGTATAGTTGTCTAATGTTCCAAATTTTCCGCTTAAATCTCCCATTTCGTACTGGTCGGGGGTTCCTTGGTAAGTTCTTGGGGATGATGTTGGATCGACGTTCAACGGGTTCCAATGTCCATAAAGTGTCGTGGCTTCGCAAGGAAATTCCAAATTTTCTTCCACTGGAGTCTATAAAATGAACAATTGAAACTTCGGTGGGAAGATTTCAAATAAAAAGGAATTACAATGTGTACGTGATAGCCACTGGTGTCTTCCAAACCTTCAATGTCCACTTCCACATTGGTTATTTCGAATTCGGTTTGCTGGTAAAATTCTAGTTTCCCTTGGACACTGGAAGGCTCCCCGTTAGGAAACCAGTCCTTAGCTACAGCCTTCCTCCGATATACGCCTCCGATACTAAAAAAAAATAATTTGTTATTTTGTGATTTATCCACGATCGGTTTTATCATTTTTCTTACATGCTACAGGCAAGCCGCTCTCCTCTGGCTTTTGGCCCAAAGTCATCATATATGACGAAAGATTTACCCAAAATACCATAAAGACCGGTCAAGGGTAGTAGGGGATCAGTAAATACTTTTCTGCTAACTTTGTCGCTTTCAATTAATCTACCAGCTATCGCTACAGTTCCCAGCCTTGTAGATAAATCGCCCAGTCGACATCGATTGATGCTGTCTAAATTACAAGTCTTCTCTGGAGACGTTTTATTATCAAAATCCACCTAAATGTAACAATAAAAATTTTACTGGATTACCTACTACGTAAAAGAAAGAAAAAAATAGTTACCTTGTAAGGGTTGTAAATTGCTCCAGCGCTGAGACACCTTCCTGACCAGTTGTAGAAGTCTTTACCATGTGGGTTCTCGTGAATTGCCCATCTGTGATCGGCAGAGTTGTTAAAACTGGATCCGTCCGCATGGATTAAATATTCCACCATTACGGTGGTGTCTGTCCAGGGCTCATCTCTCGGTTGTCTGAATAAAATTCGTCCCACTATCGGATACCGAAAAGTGACCTCTGCAGTAAAGATTTGTTTCTGGTATTTCATGTTCTGCTCGTACAGCGCAATACTCCCGCAAATCCACGGTTCAGCTTGGATGTCCGATGAAGTGTAATAAGTGTTTCTACGAATTTCAAAATTTTTTACAATAACATCAATATTGGATTTCTCGTATTGAATAGAGATCTTACTTGTATATTACCAAGGACCTGTGAATGATGGAATGTTGTCCCTGAAGGGGTAAAAAGGTGTCCCAATACTGTCCCTTTAGTTCTTGGGATCCTGGCAAAAGACCTGAGGCATTATTTCTGCCCAAAAGCTTTCCCGAAAGGTCTCCAATAGGGTACTGATTTTGAGTACCGTATCCTACAGGAAGATTTTGGATAAATGACCATTATTAAGGCAGACTTGCTAAAAAAGCTTACCGTTGGGTGGGATGAAATTGACGTCTACATTTAAAGGGTTGTATACAAATTTCGTGGTCAGACAGGCATTTTCGATCTGTGCTACGGTCTTGGGTGGTTGCATTGGTAACTCGTGTATCTTGTACCCAGCCACAGATGAACTGTAAACCAATTTGGTTTCGACGTCTCCTCTGGCAGTAGTCAAATTAAAATCTAACATGGTCGGTTCGAATTTCGTATTTTGGGATAAGTTTATTTCACCCTTTATACCTCCCGATTGTATGATAACTCTAAAAAGAATACATTAGTTCTTCAGAAAAATCATATTTTGTATTTTGGTTACGCAACAAAGAAATTTGAAATTTCGAAGCGGTAACTAAAATTTTTCGAATACTTTTGGATTGTAAATCTTACTTAGCATTAATGGGGTGTTCGTATCTTATATTCGCGCAGGCCAGGAAGCTATCAGGATGCTTATTTTCAAAAATAACGAGGTACAAGCGCCTGTGTGGTCCAGTGAGATCGTTAGGCAGCAGAATCAGTTCTTCGTCCCTAAAGAACATTTTGTATCGATTTTTGTTGGGATCAGTCGATATTTTCACTTTCCCTACTCTCTTATCGATATCTCCTATCGCGTGACCGTCTCCTTTGTCTTCAGGATCGAAAACCAGTTGCAGTATGTTACAGTTTATGTCCGATCTGTCGTGTTTGTGGTCCAGAATCTCGGTCACGTATATTTTCCACGAGTGTTCCGTGTGGTCAATGGATTTCAATTTGTCGGTTTTGGCAACATGGTACAAATCCGAAGTTATCAGCATGTCGCTATGATTGTCTTTTGTGGAGAACCATTTAAAATAGACGTTTCCTGCTAGGGGCGAATTGAACTTTGCTACGGCAGCCTTTTCAACGGTTTTGTCTTCAAAAATTATCGAGCCGCAGACTTTACGTCTAGTTTCTAAATTTTTTAAAAGGATCGATTTTCCAAACAGTCCTTTTGGTCCTCGGATGTCGAGGTCTTTGGTTACGAATTCGGAGGTACCGTTTTCGGGTACCAGGAGGTAGCCGTAGATGTCGTCGAAATTCAGGATTTCGTTACCGATTTTTGTAAAGTCACATCTGTTTTCCAACTGAGAATAATCAGTGGGAAATTCTGTCAATGCCCATGACCATATTTGGGATGGGTATTCAAGTGTTACGTTGAGATTTGTTATTAGTTTTACGCCTTCCGGTAACTTTTCGAAGTGGATGGTACCGTGTAAACCATTGTCTGATATGTAGGTAACTAGTCTCAGTGAGGTAATTTGTGGTAAGCCTGTAAAAAAGGGCAAGGGATGAAAATATATTTTATCATCCTCAATCATAATTATAAATTAATTTGTTTATGATGGTTTAAATAGTTAAGATTAAAAGAACATATAAAAATGGTAAAAAGTATATAAACTTCTCGAGAACCGGGTCCGGTTAACTTAAAATCATTGCAACATTACTTTTATTTTTTTTTAATTATCTAAAAATAACAATTGTGTAATAGTTTCTTACTTACCTAAACTAAGTATTGAGCTTATCAATATTATTAGGTTGTATGTCTTCATTATGTTGTTCTTTTTCTACTATTTGGTATCAAATTGTCAATTTTTATCACCAGAACGATTTGAGATCACATTTTCGCGCATTTACCGCCGTTGGCATATTTTCTCGACTGTCCAGATGGTAAGCAAAAGAAGAATATTGAAAAACTAATGATGGAAATAACATTTGGTAGACAACGTCAATAGAAAGTGAGGCCAAGTCAATGGTACCCATACCAAAACTTATTTCTGCCCACCTCACTTTTACCTTTACTGGTCTTACTTACCTGTTTACTTAAGTTAAGAAATGCACCAGCGATAACTATATCATCATCGTAAGGTCGTCAGTCCTAAGAATGGTTGGACACGTACCTCCACTCTTTTCTATCCTGAGCTAATCTTCTCATTTCCCTAAAACTAGAACAGCCCACATCCTTAACTATTTACGAACAGTAATCTAATCCAGGTCTACCTCTACCCCTCGTAACTCCTGCTTCTGCCTCTAATATGTCTCTGACTAGATCTTCATATCTGAGAAGGTGTCCTACCAACCTATCTCGCCTATTTTTTATTGACTTCCAGAGAGTCCTCTTCATTTATAACCTTTTCTACTCACGTTATCCTCATCAGCCGCCTATAACACCACATTTCCAACGCTTCTAACCTTTTCTTTTCCGCCGCACCCACTGTCCATGTTTCGCACCCGTACAACGCCGTGCTCCAAACATACACCTTTAACAACCTTTTTCGAATTTCTAAATTAACCGTTCGCGAGCATAGAAGTGACTTCTTTTTATTAAAGGCGA